ACATCAGTTTTTTCCCAAGCAATGGGATGATTATTATTCTAACATGAACGAACAAGGCACTGCTTTCAGATGCTGTTCTGATATTGTACTTATGTTGTCTGATTCTGAACTGCAGTGTTTTTCCTGTCTGTCCTACATAATTACAGTTACATTTGCTACATGGAATACAATAAACACTTCCATTTACATTCAAACTTGGACTATTTCTTATTAACATATTGGTAATGGTTGAGTCATACTTGAAAACAACATTAATATTTAGAAGCTTGAGGGACCGAACTAACGGGACAAATTCATTTTTTACCTTACATGACTAGTCACGTCACCCCCCTTCTCTTAAGCTCCTCTACGTGTGTGTTGGTGTGGGGATTAGTAGATGACATCATTATGACCTGACCTCATGTTTTTAAAGTCACCCTGTATATTTAAGCCTCTCTCTGTCCATGTAATCCAGTTGCCTCTGAAGATGTCTTGAAAAAAGACGAAAGCTAAGGTGCTCCGTTGTTTCCCTTTTCCCGTGTGAGTTTATCAAGATATATATAAATATATATATATATATATATATATATATATATATATATATATATATATATATATATATATATATATATATATATATATATATATATATATATATATATATATTTACATATACATATATTGACAAATTCAGTATGTTTAATGCGACTGGATTCTATAATGTTCCTACTGACAATTGAATTACAAGGTAATATTGAGGAGGCATTATCCCAGCCAATGCAATGCTTATTATCTCTCATATGAATGAACAAAGCATTGGATTCCTGGCCTGTCCAAACACTATATTTATGTTGTTTAAGTCTAGTTATAAGAACTGCAGTCTGGCCTAAGTAGAATATATTACATTCCTCTCAAGAAACCTTGTGTCTGCAGCCACCTGCATTGCTGGGGAAGCTAATTATTAACATTTGTTTCACAGTGCATCAATTATTAAAGGGTTACATTTACGTTCCAGGTTTTCAATTGTACAGGAAATTGAGATTTTTTTGTGAAATGTTAAGTGTAAGAGATTCTTACGGTCATGGAGTGGTTTAGGATCAGTTTTATAAAAATATTTCTTTGCGATGTTATGGCATTTGCCCATAATAAGAGTCAAATAGTCAGTATTCTTATTAATGTTTTACGTGCTCTTAGAATATGCAATCCGGAATGCATTGATGAGGAATATAATATATATCTATAATATTGGCTAGAAACTTAAATACCCTAGCTCGTTTATAGACAAATCATTGTAATTCAATTGTCAGTAGAAACATTATATAATCCAGTCTCATTAAACATATCGAGTCTGTCAACATGAATTTAAGAAATGTCAAACTGGATAATTTTGGTATTAAAAAGAAGTGTAACCAGGTGAAAGGGTTGGGTCACTAGGGTGTGTCATAGGAGGGAAGATCAGCTAAAACTAATGGCCCATCACTTTTTTGGTAGATTTTAGTGTATATAAACACAAAATAATTTCAGTTTCAATATTTTGAAACATTTTGCTAGGTAAATTTTAGCGTGAAATTTATCGAAAATCTAACGTACAGCTGCATTAGTGCATTACAATTAAATAGTGAACATTGCTTTCTGACTTCATTCTTTAACAACCCAACTAACAATATTTTTTTCTGTTTCAGTTTCTGATGCATTTATAAGTTGATAATATTTGCGATGGCTGCTTGTGTCAGGACGAGGAACCAAAAATCCAGCCATCTCAGTCACTATCTTGGGTCTGGGAGAGAGCTCCTGAAGTCGGAGTTGCCTACATTGAGAGATGCTTTGAGATACGGTGTTTTAATCAGGCAAATCAGTGAAAAGAACCAAAGAACTTACACAAACAAAGACATTGCCAGTGATATGACCAAAGCTGTCTTGGCACAGTACACTCTGGCTAACGCTCAGTTCAAGCCTCCAGTCATAACAAGTCAGAAGAAGATTAGTGAGAGACTGCTAGCCAGTTGGGAAAAGGCAAGAGATATCTCTCTTGGGAGAGGAAAACTTGCAGTTAAGGACAGCTTTGCCAAGCAACTGGACCAGTTATTTGACATAATTACTTGCAAGTGCCCAATTGTTCTCTGTCCTGAGTTTGGATGCGATCGTGACTGTAAATCCGAGGCCCACATCTCCTGTATTTGCAAGCGTGAACTGAAGATTCCTGTGATCGAACTGGCATTTGTCAAAGCACAGAGAGAGAAGACTGGCAGTATAGGGGCTCTCATGATTTCTAGCCAAGATATTCCGGAGTCCAAGAGACAGGAGGCTGCCACAGAGAGACAGAAGAGGAGAAGAGTTGCCGAGGAAAAGAGACTTGAGAAGGCCCAGGGTGAGGTAAAAAGGCCGATGATTGGAGTCAAGCTGATTCAGAGTTTAATGACTTCCCCATGGCTGATCCGAGTGCTGACCAGGAGAATGGTGACTTTGTCCCTAACCCAGAAAATAATGATCCCAAACCTTCCAGGCATAAGATTCGAAATAGGAAAGATATCGAGCATAGCTCTGGCCAGCATACGACACCACACTGGTCTCCAGAGAAACTGCAGAGATAGCAACAGCTGCCTGGATTGACGGTGGTTTGATAACACCTGATGATGTTCACCTGGTGATGAATCATAACAAAGTAAGGAGAGCTCAGGAGAAACTTGTCAGTAACCTAGAAGAAGGATTTTGATAAGGGGATAAGAGAGAAAATGGAATCAATTGTTTGTTCTTTGATGGGAGAAGGGATGACACTAAAGTGTTCATGAAAGTTGGAGATTCTGACAAGTTGTTCCTTACCATGGTGAAGGAGGAACACTACTCCTGCTGCAGTGAACCAGGAGGGAAGTATTTGTGGCATTTCACTCCAGAGAAAGATGACATCAGGAAACCAGCTGAGATAGTGGTAGATAACATTGTGAACTGGCTCAGAGAGAGGAACGTAGACCAGAACCTGCAGGCCATTGGAGGGGACAGCACCAACACGAACACAGGGTGGCAAGGGGGGGTCATACAGTGGATAGAGCGGAAGATTGGGAGGAAGCTGGTCTGGATTGTTTGTGACCTCTACACCAACGAGTTGCCACTCAGACATCTTATCCAGGAGCTGGATGGCAAGACTCTTTCAAACAACAGATGGTCTGGTCCTCTTGGCAAGATGCTGGACTCTGCCACTGAGTTAGAAATAAATCCGAGCTTTGAAAAAATCACAGTTGGCCCTCCACTCGTTGAGCTTGCACATACTGTCATTGACGACCTGAGTACTGACCACAGTACTATGGTTACATGATTTGCAGTGCCATCAAAACTGGGGTCATGCCTGATAGACTTGCTACCTGCAGATAGGTCCAGTCTCACATTCTAGGTGGCTCACAACGGCTCTCAGGTTCTGCAGAATTTGGGTCGCTCATCATAAACTGAAAGGGAACCAGCTTCACAACCTGAGACTTATTGTCCAATTCATCGTGAGTGTCTACTTGCCAAATTGGTTCAACACCAAGGTCAAGTCATCGTTCTCCGAAGGTCCGAGGCATGTTCTCTTCCAGCTTGAGCTCCTCAGGAGTCAGCCAAGGTAGGTTGTTCAGATTGTGGAGCAGACTTTGAGGAGATCTTCCTGGTATGCTCATCCCGAGGCAGTTCTGCAGACAATGCTCTGCAGTAAGGATGAGGAGGAGAGAAGAGTGGCAGTCAAAAAGATCTTGGATATGAGACTTATGAGAGGATCTGGGCATGACGAATCAGTTGGTGACGATTCCTTCAGGGTCAGGAAGACTCCTGAAGTCAATCTAGGTGCCAAGACCCTCACTGATCTTATAGATCTGGATAACATCCAGGCTGGCAGTGAGCCCCCTCTCACCTGCAGCCTCACCAATATTCAAGTCAGAGCTTTCCTGGACAACCCCATGCATGTCCCTGCCTGGCCCTCGCACACCCAGAGTATAGAGCGTTGTGTACATCAAGTGAGCGAGGCCAGCAGTCACGAGTACAGCCAGGAGAGGAGGGAAGGCTACATCCGAGCTCAGGTGGTCAGCAGGGAGGTGATGAGTAGAAACAGAAGCAAGAAAGACATGTTCTCTATGGTGTGCAGCAACACCGGGTCGTAGTAGTAAAACCGGTTTTTGTATTTGATGATTTTGTTTTCTAAAGGAATATTAAATTTAATAAATGTGTCAAGATAATTCGTTTCACTATTCTGGATCATTTTCATCCTAATAAATTAACCTGATACATTTACTTTACTTTAAATAAGCTATTTAGTGGTGTTGGTAAAAGGGTGGAAATACTGAATTTTCATAAGATTTCAAGTTAAAATTTACCTAGCAAAAAATGAAAACTTTTCAAATCTGAAGATATCACATGATTCTGCACATAGAACTACATCATTAATACCATGGGCCGATTTTTCAAACTAAAAAAAAAAAAATTCGCCTCCGTATGACACCCTATTGGGTCACTCTACCTCATGACCTGAATATAGTGGACACCTGCTGTCCCTAGGGACTTGATCTCACTCTCCTTTATTGTATATATTATCTTTGTCAAGAATTATTCCTTTGTCTGTGCTCGCCCTGAGCTGATGAATATTTACCAATGACGCAATTCTTTTTTTGTCTTTTCTTACGGGAATTAGCCTACATGGGGGCAGGTCGAACGGCCCACAACGGGTCCTAGGGGGCAAATACATCATATATAACTTTTTCTCTGAAATACAAAATTCTCTCAGTATAAGACCATTCTTCTGAGGTGAATACTTTCACGAACTTTATTACTTAAGGATGTTCGTCCTATTTCCTGTTATTTGGTCCCATTTTTGCTGAACAACACAAGTGCCCAACTGTGACATCTCATATTACTACAGAGCAGAAACGTGTCCTAATTTAATTACGGGATCCCTTTATTGGCCAATGATATTGTGTATGTATTGTCAGGGTCTTTAGAATTCTCACTGATTTCCATAAGTAATTATTTGATGAAAAGAGTTAATATAAAACGGCATAGAATGAACTTAATTTAATTTTATTTAATTCCAGTAAGTCTGTTACATTTTAGATATTTTTACATAGTAATATAATAACTATGTTTTTTCGCCAAGTTTAAACATCCAAAAAGGTTCTTTGTATATCCAGTATCTTTAATAGTAACTGATCTATATTACATAATGTTATGTCGAGCAGTGGTAGCCAAATCTTGATCTTGTATATAATAATAGTGGAAGAAGATTTCAATAAGGAAGACACCGAAGGCGAGGCAACAACCAAGCAGCGACAGGTAGAAGGCTCCCTGAAGGTGATCCAACGTCAGCACCACTTGACCGCTCTCTTGCTGAAAGATGAGGCAAGTATAATGCGTCCCCTGTATTGAGATCTTTTATATGATGAACATCATGTCCCAGCTATAAGATCTGATGTATTGCTGCGACCATAATAGGTTGATGGATACCAAGACGTTGTCATGATTTAGTATAGTCATACACCATGACACTGTTGGAAGAGTTGATCAGTTGTAATAATCAAGACATAGTTAACAGTGAGCTTAACTATACCGAGCAATACAAGTTACTTATGGAGCTACGTTATAACATTCCTTACCTCAGTGTACAGTGGCCGCTCCTTCCCTTCTTTTTCTGTGTTGTTCCGTTTAACCTCATTCTTTATGACTTGATCCAACCAGAGGCTCAGGAGTCCAGCCTCGACGAGTCGTTGTTTCACCTTGCTGATCTGCTTCGTAAATGGTGCACCTTGTCTGTGTGAACATGTTGTCTCACTTGATGAAAAAGTTGGTGTTATTCATTTGGGTGAATATTTATATAAAGCAAAGGTGCTGTTACACCGCCCAGCCACCACCGACCGAGTTCTTCATATCAACACCCGAGAATGAGTCACTGCACCATGTGTACTTAAGCCTCTCTCGGTCCTTGTAATTCAGTTGCCTCTGAAGATGTCTTGAATAAAGACGAAAGCTAAGGTGCTCCATTGTTTCACTTTTTCCTGTGTGATTTTATCAAGATTTATCTGATTCACGTTTTCATTGTGGATCTACATGATATATATATATATATATATATATATATATATATATATATATATATATATATATATATATATATATATATATATATATATATATATATATATATATATATATATGCAAGAAAATCACTGTAGGTGCACGTGATCCAGGTATATGCTGATAACCACAGGAAAGAAGAAAACACGAAGTTCCCAAGCGCTTTTGTGTAATTCACATCTTCAGGGGTAAGTACAGACTAAGGAAAAATACATAACAAGGCAAATATATATAAAGTAGAGGAAGGTGAGATCAAGTCTACAATGGTCAGTTATTAGGTAATGACCCTACTAATCTTCAAAAAGCACCACAGCAGTTGGTAGTCAGGTCAGAGGGTAAGCTGACCCAACCTTTTCACCTGGTTACAAATCTTAATTACGAAATTATCCAGTTTGTACATACCATTACTCAAATTCATGTTAACGGATTCGGTATGTTTAATGAGACTGGATTCTATAATGTTCCTACTGTCAATTGAATTACAAGGTAATATTGAGGAGGCATTATCCCAGTGCTTTCAAGTACCTAGCTAGGAAATTCCTACAGATCAATGAAGCGAAGTTGAAATCTAGAATTTTCGTGGGACCACAAATTCGTGACCTATAAAAAAACTTCTACTATTGAGAGCAATATGAATGACATGGAGTTGAAAGCTTGGCTTGCTTTCGGGGCTGATGTCCAGAGATTTCTGAGAAACTTTAGAGCTCTGGAATAAAAACAGCTAATTCAGAATATGATAGACGGTTTTCACGATCTAGGATGCCGCAATAGTGTGAAAATGCACTTTTTGAACTCCCACTTGGAATATTTTCCTGATAACTGTGGAAAATACAGTGAAGAGCAAGGTGAGCGGTTACACCAGGACCCTCATGGAGCAGATGCATCCAGGGAAATGAAAAGGCAGCATGATGGCTGACTACTGCTGGTGCCTAAAAACGTGATGAATCGTACGCAGCAAACATTCAAAAGACAAACGGATAGCAATTCTAAACATCCAACTAACTCCGAGTTCATACATTTTATCTTAGAGTACATTTTCATATCCCATTTCAATTATAAAACAAGCAATGCTACATTGTTATTTGTTTCCCAAATACAGTACTTGCTTCAAATACACTATTCTTCTAAAAATCTAATGTGATTTTTTAATGAAAACCGGATGTGAATGACAAAATTTGCTTACATATTCTGGAAGAGTTTCCAAAAATTGTGTGAATTAACCTATTTTCGTAAAGAAAAAATGAAAGTGTTTAAATGCAGGCCAGTGTTATTTGTAGACACATTTTCTCTAGTTGTGGGACCACAAACTGTTCCAGTATGTCAATGTATCTGCGACGATGAATTGGTCAGGGTGGACTTCATCCCTGTCTGATACCACTATTAGACTTCTTTCTTTAGGGGTATGTTAAAGACATTACGTATCACACATTTGTAACAGCCATTGCGGAATTACGTTCAATACCAGGATAACGGACGCCATTGCCACTGTGACAGTGAGCCTGTTGCGACGAAAGTGGACTCGAATCGAATGTCGGACAGACGATCTGCGAACCACTAACAGTGCTAATTGGAAGTCTACTGGCATGCTTTGGAAAAAAACTTTGAGTTGGGCTACATGATTGTGAATGTAACTTACCTGAAACCCCACACGTTGCCTCCGAAAACTGGATATTCGGTGGTGCTGAAGTGATAAGGTGTGTTGCCGTTCTTGTCGGTGTAGTGCTTCGCCACTTCAATCTGGATTACCGTATTGACGAAAAAGAACGAGAAACGGCCAGCCAGTACACGCTCCAGCCATTCTTCTGTGTGGAAAACCTGTTTGCGACATTTTAAAAAAAATTCTTTTAAATGAGGGGGTATTTCAGTTATACTTTTCTTACCATGCTGTTGCAAGCTTTATACAAACAATACCTCACTAGTCAGGAATCCAACCCGGGACCATATGTGTGCGATCAGGGATCGCTACCACGGCACCACTAGGGAAACAAAAGCCTTGATAGGTTTTGTTTTATTTCCCACACTTTTTCACACTGAACCTGGACCTCGGCGAGGTACCACGTGAACATGATACTGCCATGGGGCCAAGTTAAGGTGGTTCGACAGTACCCAGTCAAATCCACCTCCCCCAAGTAACTACACCTCCTTGTCCTGAGGAACTTTTTCGACTCCTCAGGGATCAAAGGAGTTACGAAGGTCGTCCACAGACAGATGAGAAGTGGCCTTATGGCCATCTTCTCCGAATGGGGAGAGGCCAGGCAAGTGGTGGACGCCATCGTCATGAACGGCATCCCAGTCGTGGTAGAAATTCGTGAAGAAGATAATTTGGTGAGGGGAGTGACATCTCACGCCGAAATTCAACACCTCGAACAACACGAGCTGACCCAACTGATCGGTAACCAGCTCCATCTTGCTAAGAAGCTGACCAGTATAGCAGCCCTGGGCCCAGATTCTGACCTCATCAGTTGTGTTCTGACCTCACTCAGTTGTGTTCTGACCTCACTCAGTTGCGTTCTGACCTCACTCAGTTGTGTTCTGACCTCACTTGGGGAAAGTTCACGGCAGGGTTAGCTCCCAAGGGATAATTATCAGATATGGCCAGTGCTATGTGTGGTCTTGGGTGTGCGAGTTTGTTGACCAAACTAGAGTGGTCCATGGAAGAATTGGCGAGGGCCAAGGAAGAAAATGAGAGGGCCACGTTGGAGAACCTGAAATTAAAGGAAGAGCTGGCGAGGTTAAAAGGGGAGGCGGGACATGGAAAGCCAGTGTCTGACGAAAACTCAAGCGAGTGGAAGGTTGTGAGGAGTGGGAAGACGAAGCTGGTGGTGAAGAAATACACCAAGGATACGACAACAACAGCTAAGTGTACCAACTCCTTCAGTCCCTTGATACACGAATTGGACGTTAGTACAGTCAGGGACAGGGATGACAAGGAAGGTATAAAAACTTTAATTGTTGGTGACTCACAGGTAAGGTACATGGACAGGGCCTTTTGTGGTAAAAACAAAAATAGGATGAGGGTGTGTTTGCCAGGAGCTGGGGTGGGGGCTATAATTGACAGGATGGACAATATCTTGTCTGGTAATGGGAACAAACCCATTATCTGCCTCAGTGCAGGAGGCAATGATATTGGCAGGTGTAGGAGCGAGGAGCTTCTTGATAAGTTCAAGGCAGCTATAGATCGTATTAGGTCTAAGGGAGGGATCCCTCTCATATGCTGTGTCCTGCAAGTCAATATCTGTCCCATTCATTAACAACTGGGACAACTTCTAAGGCAGAAGGGACCTTTATACTAGGGATGGGGTGCACCTGTCTCGGGATGGGGTGGCAACCCTGGATGGGTCTCTAGAGGGGGCAGTTCAAAGGATATCGAAGTCTTTAAACTGCTAGGGGAACATATGGGCACGGGGGTGGGGGAAACTGCAGTGGGAGCGGGTAAACAAAGTAAAAGATTACAGGGAAATAGTGTTAGGAATGATGACAAAACTAAATTAAACAGGGAGTTTAAAACTAAACGCGGTAAAGGGAGGACTCAGAACACGACTAACAAAAATGTCTACTACGCGAACAGTAGAAGTATGAGAAACAAAATGGATGATATTAGAGCCTTGGTATGTACCGAAAAAATCGATATAATAGCATTCACTGCAACATGGATCAACCTAGACTCACGTGAGTTGCCGGTCGAATAACCAAATTACTGGTTACAAATTGTTCCATACCGATAGGCAGACCAGGAAAGGAGGAGGAGTAGCAATCTATGTAAAGGATAATCTGAAGTGTGAAATAAATAAGGAAATAAAAACTGAGCGGAATACAGGAACAATTTGGATAGAATTAAGCGACGGTAGGGAAAAATTAATCACAGGAGTAATATATAGACCTCCCAATCTTGATAGAGTCAATGAGCGACTTATATGGGATGAAATGCGCAGGGCTTCCATACACAACAAAGTCTGTATAGTAGGCGACTTTAACCTTGGCCAAATAGATTAGACTGGCCTTACGGGTAACTCAGAATCAGAGGATTTTCTCGAGACGATCCAGGACTGTTTCCTAAGTCAACATATAAGCGAACCCACACGGAGTAATATTATACTCGATTTAGTTCTGTCGAACAGAGAAAACCTCATTAGCAATGTCGAGGTAGGGAACGAACTTGCAAACAGCGATCCCAAAGAAATTAGATTCCAGTTAGATTTTTAGGGCAGACGTAAGGAAAATTCCACTGAAGTACCAGATTTCAGAAGGGCAAACATTGACAGTTTAAAGAGGCAGCTGAGAGAGGGTGTGTCGCGCTTGGCCGTGTACCTGACAGATGACTCCGACCTGATAACGAGATCTGAGACTGCCGAGTTCCACGACAATTTAAATAATGAGTTTCTTAATGCACAAAGGCAGAACATACCATACAAAAAACTCAGATCAGACAAGAATGACCCTAAATGGATAAATAATTATTTAAAGAACATCATTGGCCAAAGGAAGGCTATAGGTAAAAGGATAAAGCGTGGCGAAATTTACCTCCAGGATTATTATAAGATATTGGCGAGTAGGGTTAAAACCGAGATAAGGAAAGCCAAGAGGAATAATGAGGTAAGGATAGCAAGGGAGGCGAAGACAAAACCCAAAGGATTCTACCAAATGTATCAAACTAAACCACGAGAAAAGATTGGACCAATATGGTCAGATACCGGCGAGCTCACTCATAACGACAGAGAAATGAGCAATAATTTGAATAAATATTTTTCAACAGTTTTCACCACTGAAAATTTAAACATAATACCCGAGGCACCGACTCTATTCAGAGATAGTGAAGAAAATAAATTAAGCGAGATAGTAGTGACTAGTAACGATGTTAGTAAGCAAATAGACAAACTAAAGCCTAATAAGTCACATGGTCCCGATGAGATATTTGCCAGAGTATTAAAGGAACGTAAGGAAGAGCTTAGTATGCCCTTAGCAAAGTTGTTTAACATGTCCTTAAAAACAGGTGTAGTACCAGAATCCTGGAGGATAGGGAATGTAATACCGATTTTCAAGAAGGGGGATAGATCACTATCCTCTAACTACCGCCCAATCAGTCTAACATCAATAGTAGGCAAATTACTGGAAGCAATCATTTCAAACTCTATACGAAATCACCTGGAGAAACGCTGATTGATCAATGATTCCCAGCATGGCTTCACAAGCGGACGTTCTTGTCTAACTAATCTATTAACATTCTTTCATCAGTTTTCGAATAGGTGGACGAGGGGCACAATTATGATGTGGTATATCTCAACTTTAGCAAAGCCTTCGACAGAGTCCCCCACGAAAGACTAATTAGAAAGGTAGAAGCACATGGCATCAAAGGTAACATCCTTAAATGGATTAGGGCGTGGTTACAGGACAGGAAACAGCGAGTGAGCATTAACGGCACTAAGTCCCATTGGAGCAATGTCACAAGTGGAGTTCCCCAAGGCTCAGTACTTGGACCATTATCATTTATTATATACATAAACGACATAGATATCGGCATAGACAGCAACATAAGTAAATTTGCTGAAGACACTAAAATAGGAGGTGTTATTAAATCTGACGAGGTCTCCGCAAAACTACAGGAAGATGTAAAAAAAATTTTCGAATGGTCTGAAAAATGGCAGATGAAATTCAATGTGGACAAATGTAAAGTACTCAGTATAGGACATGTAAACAGGGAAACCAGATACCAGATGAACAACGATGCCATAGAGAAATCCGACTGCGAGAGAGATTTAGGAGTAATGATAAGTAGGAACCTTAAGCCAAGTAAACAATGTGTTTTTGCTCGTAACAAGTCTAATAAAGTACTTAGGTTCATACAAAGGAGTGTTAGTTACAAGACTAGTGAGCTCATCCTAAAACTGTATCTTGGGCTTGTGAGACCACACCTGGATTACGCAGTTCAATTCTGGTCACCGTATTACAGGATGGATATAGAATCATTGGAAAGAATTCAGAGGAGAATGACAAGACTAATCCCGGGCATTAAGAACCTTGAGTATAGAGACAGGTTAAGGCATCTTAATTTGCACTCCCTCGAGAGACGTAGAGCGAGGGGCGACCTGATAGAGGTGTATAAGCGGAAGTCAGGGCTAAATAAAGGGACATTACAAAGGTACTCAAACTATCCAACCAGGAGCGAACTCGTAACAATGGTTTTAAATTAGACAAATTTAGATTTAGGCGTGAAATAGGTAAACACTGGTTTGGAAACAGAGTAGTGGATGAATGGAACAAGTTACCAAATATCATCATTAACTCGAATACGCTGAATAGCTTCAAACATAGGTTGGATGCATATATGAGCAATAGGGGTTGGGTGTAAACGGGACTGCCCAGTATGGGCCAATAGGCCCGCTGCAGTTTCCTCCATTCTTATGTTGTTATGTTAACACTGCTAACATACGAAGTTCCTTACTGACTGGAATCTTAAATCCATACGTACTATCATAAGAACGATTCACTAAGGGTTCGTAAGTTAGCTATGCTGCAGATACGAATTCTGGCATTAGTTCATAAAATGCCGTCAAGTGGCGGTGGTGTATTTCCTTCCAGCCAATCACTACGACTGAGACATAACTGAGTAGGAGAAGTAAGCCAATCATGTCACAACATTAGACCCCATAAGGTTGCACCTGTTACCACCTTAGACATTTATAGAAGAAAATGGTGTAAATTTGGATGATGCACATTTTGGCAATGTGTTTTGCCGGTTTCTTTTTAATTTGGTAATCGATTTTCTTCTTTGGCGATTTTGGTGAAAATATATATTTTTCAAATATTTTAAATGATAA